ATATTTGGAAATACTGCTTTGCTGGTAGTGCATCAGATGAGCCAGGAGTAGAAAAGAGAAGCCAATTAGGGTGCTGATGTCAACAACAAATAAGGACGACTTCAAATATGACTATAAATGGAAGAAAGTGGATATAAAGGAATAAAATTCCGGAGTTAGAATCAACAGGACTTTGATTGTGTCTGAGTAGTTCTGGGGATGTGAGAAATAGGGCTTAGGAAGAGACGTGAAGAAATCACATGTTACATGGAGATTTGTGTGATTTATTAAGTTTTATATTTAACCAGATCTTTTCAGTGATTTATCAAAGTAGTTCACAGGTAGTTGAAAGAGTAAGTACAAGTTTTTCTAGTGAGGTGACTTAGTAGTTAAGAAGTCAAATGACAGTTAATGGTGAAATCCAGTGATCCTCTAAATGTCCTTTAGTTATATGAGCTTTGTAAAATCTTAGCTAGTGCCTTATTACTTGATTTGACTTAGAAAATGGTTAGTCTAGGATTATCAGTTCAGTTGCTCAGTCATGTCCCAACTCTTTGTGATCCCATGGACTGCAGCATGCCAGGCTTCCCTGTCCATCACCAACTCCTGGAGCTTGCTCAAACTCATGTCCATCAAGTGGGTGATGCTATCCAACCATCTCATCCTCTGTCGTCCCCTTCTCCTCCTGCCTTCAATCTTTCCCAGCACCAGGATTATAGATGAATAATCTAGAACATGAGCAATAATCAGTGACATAATTTTAAAAACCTGAGTTAAAAAAAAGATCGGAGTATGCAAATCAAAAGGACTCACTAATTTCCAAGTGAGACTAATGAAGGAAGATCACTATAAAAACTGCAGCATTTTTACTTTACAAAGATAATGAAACTACTCTTAACATCCATGCAGGGGGTGACAGAAAGTACATGAAGAATTAAAAATCAGAATGGCCTTACATTTTATTGTAAGTATAAATATTGGACACAATAAAGCAATAACAAAAGACTATTGAGCAAGACAAAAGTTAAGAATTTTGTACCTGGCTAGGTTTTATGCAAGATATATAAGCTTAGACTTAACGAAGGCTCACTAAATATTCCACCCAACGCCTGCCCTTTTTCAAGATTGTTCCAGCCAGTGAAAGATTGCTGGTGAATATTGAAATAGATTAAATTGAATGATATCTGAATAATTGTTTTGCTTCATAAAATAAAATGCATACAAAGTAATTCTTTTAACTAAATGTAAAAATTTTACTTATAATCTCAAATTATATCTATCTGCCACTCCTACTAGAACTTTGGGTGGTAGAGGAAGGCTGAAGGTCTGATGGTGGTCTTCTTCAGAACAGACTTTTAAATTCCTCACTGAAAGGTCATGTATCTCTGAACAGATTGAAATAGAGGTTGTAATTTTTAGTTTGTTCCTTGTACAGCACGAGGGACTAGTTTTCAGATTTAAGACTCCTTTTTCCCACACCTTTTTTATTTCCTCATTCTCTCTCCCACCTCAAAAATCCAGTCTTCTACCCTGGCATTCCTTTCCAGCTTCTTGATCTGATGTCCTCTGCTTAACTCTCTCACTCATCACTTGTTGGTTCTAATAAATTAGGATGCAAGAGGCTCAAGGTTCCACTGCAACATTATTTTCAGCATAAAGAGGGGAAGAGATGTTTCCCTAGGATGTTAAGGCAGGAGAAGTATATGCTCTAAGACCAGTTGACCAGTGTGTATTTATGAAAACTTAATGTAATAAAGGTGAATTTCACATTAGTGGAGAAAGCTCTGGTGGTTCAGTGAGAATGCTGGCAGTTGTTTTTGTTGTTTAGTTGCTAAGTTGTGCCTGACTCTTTTGTGATCCCCATGGACTGTAGCCCACCAGGTTTCTCTGTTCATGCCATTTCCCAGGTAAGAATGCTGGAGTGGGTTGGGATGCTTCCATCTTCCCAACCCAGGGATTGAACCCACGTCTCCTGCATTGCAGATGGTTTCTTTACCACTGAGCCGCCTGGGACACCAGTGCTGGCAGACACATAACTATATCACAGCTCATCACGTTATACACTTCAAATACTTGGTCTTTATTGTCTGGCAGTTGTAGGTCAGTAGAACTATACAAATAGTGCTGAAACTATTAGAGAAAAAAATCTTTCCTTTACCAAAGTATACTTCAGAAAATTAATGTAATAAATGAAACTATAAAGCGCTTATAAGAAAATGCTTCTCAAAGTTGTAATGGTATTTGTGTGGGAAGAACTTCCTAACCATGAAACCACAGAAGTAGTGACCAAAAAATGATAGTTTTTTATACACATAAACATACATACATATATCATTGTAGATAAACAGGATCACATAATACCAGCCTCTTCTCCATAAACCTTCCTCTACATTAGTAGCCCCTTCCCCGTTCCTGCCTCACCAGATAAGCTATGTCAAAAATCTTGCAGATGTTCTTCCAAAATACATATATTTCTAAAATCATACATATTTATAGGCACATATAAGAGCATATGAGATTTTTGGTCGTTGTTTTACATAAAAATAGAATTACATTATTCTTTCTTGCATCTTTTCTTAATCCTCTGTACTTGAGGAAAATCTCTCCTTTCATCTGGCATAGCTCTTAATTCCTTTATTTTAATGCTTGTGTATCAACCAGTTGTTTGTCTCACAATTCTTCATAATTTATTCAGCCATGCCTAAATGATGGATCACTACAAATTATGCTGTAGTGATAAATTTGAAACTTGGAAGCTGTATTTTCAATTTCTGATCACTACAAATTATGCTGCCTTTACCTTTCTTGTACATATTCAATAGGAATTGGTCCTTTTATTCCTATGGAATAAATGCTTAAGAATAGAATCACTGCTCCTCAAAATGGACTCGTTTTATATATTTCTGTTTTTCATAAATGCTCTCAGCCTGCTTTTCAAAAAAACTGTACCCTTTGCATTTTTACCAGCCATTTTATCTCTGTTCCATTGTTCTTGCCAGCAGTGGTATTATAGCTTATTTTACTTTCTGCAGTGGTAGTACAGTTCATTTTACTTTTCTTACTTTTTTTTTTTTTTTAAACTTTGAGTTTCCTCAGGGTCTCAGAGTTGGCCAGAGATGAATGACAGGAGCCTTTTCCTTTCCCAGGTCTTTCCTGGTCATGCACACTGCCTTAAGTACAGCCTGGAGTGTGTCTAGTTCTTAAGGATTTTTAAAAAAATTCCTGCCCAGCCTCTTATTTGCCTCAACTAAAACCACAGCCTTAGGCAGGAACCTACCATATTGCCAGCATATTACTTTACTTCTGTGATGCCTGGAGGTGGGGCTTTTGGTCTCCCTCAGCTGATGTCTATTGTGTCAAATGAAATTGCCACAACATCTTGGGATTAGAGTTTTTCAGGAAGCTGCAACTGGGGATAATATACTGATTGGGCTCTAGGGAAACTGGTTTTAATGGAACTGCAAATAAACTTCAGTCCTATCTCTTGGCTGATGCTATGGCCTTTTTATGGCACCATGCCATGAAGCTGAGGAGCATAGGGGATGGAAATAGCCCTTCATCAAAACATCCCAGGCCCGCCCCCCACCCTGGGTCTTAACAAGGTTCGGTCATTTCCATTGAGTAGACAGTGTTGTGCTCATTTTGTGACTTCAGTTAGTTGTCAGAGTTCTGAAGTGATTACCCTTAGTTATTTTGCTAGTATTTCAATTTTACTAAGTGAGTGAGTTCACAGAGGTCTCACTTGGTCACTCCAGAAGTCATCTCCTTTTCAGTTTCTTTAGCAGTTCATAGGCATTGAGTCCGTTGTGTGAACTTTAAGGTCATTTTGTCAAAATTCAAGTACACCTGTTAGAATTCTAATTCCATTAAATATATAACTTAGTTTTGGAAGAAGTGACATTTTAGGATTTTAAGTTTTCTTAAATGGAAGCAAAGAACAAATACAGATGACTAGAAAGCCAAAGAATTTTCACAGAGATTAAACAATACACTTAGCAAATCAGAAAAAAATAGTAGCATTGTTCGGAAAAGGTGGGACAAAGTACTCACACACTTTCTTCATCCTTTCTGGAATACAGTTCTATCTAAATATCTCTTTTCTTGGAATTAATCCTAAAGAAAAATCATTTTATTCACTTATTAAATTATTATTGAGTGTCCACTCTGTGCCAAACAATGTCACCATGGATACATAAACAAAAAACACATACACACTTAAAAATCTTTGCTTTCATGGAGTTCACATTCTTGTTGGTGAGGCAAACAGCAAACAAAAGAAAATTAAAAATACATTAGAATGAGCTAGTTCCTGGGAGGAAAAAGCTGGGAAAGAGGATAAGAAGTGTTGGGTTAGCAGTGTGTGTTTGGGACCTTCACTAATAACATAACGGTGACACTGTTTAAGAAACAGGAATTAGTGTATCTTATTTTCTTTTAACTTTTTCTGAATTGTTAATACAGTGAACATGTAAAACTTGATAATAGAAATCAACCTTTTTAAAAATAATCAAAATTCCTTAACAGTATGAGTTTGACACATTTTACAGAGATTGGTTTATTTTAGCAGTCTCATGGACATTACAATGGATGGATTTTACTTTAAGAGAGTAAATATAATTCACTTTATTAGCAGAGGGATTAATTTTGCAGCCTGTCACTGGGTGAAAATATGATTTAGACTTATTTTCCTCAAATAAGCTATATTAAAACTTGAATTCATTTAGAAAATTGAAATCCTGTTTTCCATATCTCTGAAACATTGCAAAGACTGAATTTCTCTTACTAGAATTTTATCACAAATGTTGTTGACAAGTTATTCATTTTATTTACTTTTTAGCACTGGATTTCAAACACTAAATTGATCATTTAAAATATCTTATTTTGTATTAAATACTTCTTTCAAAATCACTTTAAAATATTTCATGGTGGATTTCATTATATTTCATTTTATAAACTATCAATGTATAAGAATTTAGAGTAACTTAGAATTTTAGAATTTAATGCAGGAAACTATATTTTAGGAAAACAGTTAAAGGATGGGAAGAAGCCAGAACCGTGCAAACCTATCCTCAAGGTGGAATTCAAAACGACTAGATCTGGGTAAGATTTTATTTCATTGACAATATTCATTGTATACAATTACTGAAATAGCACTGAAGACTGTCATTACTTTTAAAAGCCTGGTTTAGAATGGTCCAATGAGTTTTCAAATTTTATTCTTGCTTTATTTAACAAAATAACTAAAATTGATAATTTCAGGATAAAATATTTCATGTGTTCTCTGTCTTTAGTAGTTTTACAATGTATCTTGGAAAGCTTGAATTACTTTTCTTGTCAAACTTCATATGTTCTGTTAGTCTTCAATAACAGTGTTTATTCACCAGTGAAAATTGTGGAATAAGCAATGAAGAAAAAAAACTTAAAATTTAACCTGTTAATGCAGTATGTGTTAATTATGTAAGTTATGTGTATTCACAAATTAAATCTTATTTTAAGAATATTTGACAATTTCATATAGTAAGTACAGCTTACTATTAAAGGAAGAGTGTCAGTTGTATTTGAATAGATTAATTGACACTGTAACTCAGGGATAAGATTTGTATGGTTTTTACAATTTACATATCTTACACATAGTTTTTTGTATATCTGTGTGTGTTCATGCTCAGTTGTGCCTGACTCTTTATGACCCCATAGACTGCAGCCCTACAGACTCCTCTGTCCATGGAATTTTCCAGGATACTGGAGTGGGTTGCCAGGGGATCTTCCTCCAGGGGATCTTCCCAACTCAGGGATCAAACCTGCCAAATGTTATATTTTAAAATATAATAATGAAAACAAATAAGCATTTCTTTGAAGATTCTAACCTCTAAAGGAGACCCTTTATGTTCAAGTTTTCTAAGAAAAGTGTATGGTTTTATAAATTACTAGAACTGTGTAAGAGAGTGAATTTAGGTAGTGTATATAGTGCAGTGGTTCTCAAACTGTGACCCCCTGGAGCAACAGAGGGCAGCAGTCTTGGATGCTAAGTGGCTTCAGTCGTGTCCGACTCTGTGTGACCCCATAGATGGCAGCCCACCAGGCTCCCCCTGGGATTCTCCAGGCAAGAACATTGGAGTGGGTTGCCATTTCCTTCTCCAATGCATGAAAGTGAAAAGTGAACATGAAGTCACTCAGTTGTATCCAACTCTTTGTGACCCCATGGACTGCAGCCCACCAGGCTCCTCCATCCATGGGATTTTCCAGGCAAGAGTACTGGCGTGAGTTGCCATTGCCTTCTCCAGTCTTGGATGAGAACCCATTAGAAATGTACATTCTCAGAATTCACCCCACATCTCTGAATCACAAAGTCTGTGTTGTGTGGGTGGAGCCCGGCAGTTGTTGGGGGTAGAACCCGGCCGTTGGTTCTCACTAGACCTGCAGAATTCACACTTAACTTTAGAACCACTGGGACATTTTTTTCATATGCCAGTTTAGAACCACTGGTTATTATAACTGGCTGGCTTTTCTTTTTAATCTGTTCTTTTCTCAGTCTAATTCGAGTCAACCTTTTTTCTCGAGAGTTCAGTTCAGTCACTGAGTCATGTCTGACTGTTGGCGACCCTATGGACTGCAGCACATGAGGCTCCCTGTCCATCACCAACTCCCGGAGTTTACTCAGAGTCATATCCGTGGAGTGGTTCATGCCATCCAACCATCTCATCCTCTGTCGTCCCCTTCTCCTCCGCCTTCAATCTTTCCCAGGATCAAGGACTTCAAATGACTCAGTTCTTCTCATCAGGTGGCCAGAGTATTGGAATTTCAGCTTCAACATCAGTCCTTCAAATGAATATTCAGGACTGATTTCCTTTAGGATGGACTGGTTGGATCTCCTTACAGTCCAAGGGACTCTCAAGAGTCTTCTCCAACACCACAGTTCAAAAGCATCAATTCTTTAGCGCTCAGCTTTCTTTATAGTCCAACTCTCACATCCATACATGACTACCGGAAAAACCATAGCTTTGACTAGATGGACCTTTGTCAACAAAATGTATCTGCTTTTTCATACGCTGTCTAGGTTGGTCATAACTTTGTTTCCAAGGAGTAAGCCTCTTTTAATTTCATGGCTACAGTCACCATCTGCGGTGATTTTGGAGCCCAAAAAAGTAAAGTCGGTCACTCTTTCCATTGTTTCCCCATCTATTTGCCATGAAGTGATGGGACTGGTTGCCATGATCTTAGTTTTCTGAACGTTGAGTTTTAAGCCAGCTTTTTCACTCTCCTCTTTCACTTTCATCAAGAGGCTTTTTAGTTCTTCTTCACTTTCTGCCATAAGGGTGGTGTTATCTGCATATCTGAGGTTATTGATATTTCTCCCGGCAATCTTGATTCCAGCTTGTGCTTCATGCAACCTGGCATTTCTCATGATGTACTCTGCATATAAGTTAAATAAGCAGAGTGATAATATACAGCCTTGACATACTCCTTTCCCAATTTGAAACAAGTTTGTTCTTCCATGTCTGGTTCTAACTGGCTTCTTGACCTGCATACAGATTTCTAGGAGGCAGGTCAGGTAGTCTTGTATTCCCATCTCTTGAAGAATGTCCCACAGTTTGTTGTGATCCACACAGTCAAAGGCTTTGGTGTAGTCAATAAAGTGGAAGTAGATGTTTTTCTGAAATTCTCTTGCTTTTCTGATGGATGATCCAGCGGATGTTGGCAATTTGATCTCTGGTTCTTCTGCCTTTTCTAAATCCAGCTTGAACATCTGGAAGTTCATGGTTCACGTACTGTAGAAGCCTGGCTTAGAAAATTCTGTGTGTTACTTTGCTAGTGTGTGAGATGAGTGCAATTGTGCAGTAGTTTGAGCATTCTTTGACATTGTCTTTCTTTGGGATTGGAATGAAAACTGACATTTTCCAGTCCTGTGGCCACTGCTGAGTTTTCCAAATTTGCTGGCATATTGAGTACAGCACTTTCACAGCATCATCTTTTAGAATTTGAAATAGCTCAACTGGAATTCCATCACCTCCACTAGCTTCGTTCATAGTTACGCTTCCTCAGGCCCACTTGACTTCACATTCCAGGATGTCTGGCTCTAAGTGACTGATCACACCATTGTGCTTATCCCAGTCATGAAGGTCCTTTTTGTATAGTTCTGCTGTGTATTCTTGCCACCTCTTCTTAATATCTTCTTCTTTTATTAGGTCCATACCATTTCTGTCCTTCATTGTGCCCATCTTTGCATGAAATGTTCCTTTGGTATCTCTGATTTTCTTGAAGCGATCTCTAGTCTTTCCCATTCACTTGTTTTCCTCTGTCTCTCTTCATTTTCTCAGAGTAGAATGAAGAATCTTGAGATTGGTGTTATTTCTCCTTGATCCTCTTTAGCCTTCCTCCGGGACCCAGAAGACCACTGTGCTCAGACGTGCTCAGGTTGAGTGACCTCCCAGAGGAATAGCATCTGTTAACTGACTGGCGTCCCTCGCTGTGTGACCTTTGGCGCTGAGCTCTTTGACTTCTTTGTGCTGGTTTCCAGTTAGCACACAGATGTGAGAATAGGTCAAAAGTTTGTTGTAATGAATTGAGTGAGATAATCATGTATTCAAAACATTTCACATAGTGCCTGGTACATCATAAACTTGCTCTAAGGGGTTGCCCTTATTTTTTGGGGAAACCTCCTACCACCAGTTGCCTTTTTTTTTTTTTTTGCTGTATTTCTCTTGTGGCAAAAGTACGTGAGTAGAAAATATGACAGCGATGGAGGGTGGGGTGGAGAACCAGGAAAAAAAAAAAAACCCTGTGCTTGTAATACAACGTAAAATGAATTGTCTAAACATTTAAACTAACAGTGCTGCTTGTCCTCTGAATTATCTAATCATGTTAACAGCTGTGGTTTGGCAACAGAGGCAGACATCCTGGGAAGATTTTTCTCTGTGTGTGTTCTCCCTGTTCCCACGTTCATTCCTGTATATTGTGAGTATTTATAAGTTCCTGATTTCTTCAGGATGGCAGGGATAATTCTCCTTTCATAGGATCAGAAACATAAAGCAGTCTGACCCTTTTATATGCATTCACGGTGGTGGTTTAGTCGCTAAGTCATGACTAATTCTTTGCAACCCCGTGGACTTTACCCTTTTAGCCTCCTCTGTCCATGGGATTTCCCAGGCAAGAATACTGGAGTGGTTGCCATTTCCTTCTCCAGGGAATCTTCCCAACCCAGGGATCAAGCTCGGGTCTCATGCATTACAGGTACCACCAGTATGCATTTGTAGGTGCTGTCAATACAAGATAAATCAATAGGGTAGCCGTCTGGTAACAGTTCTCTCCAGCTTTCCAATGTCTTTTTCCACCTGGGATAAAATTTTCAATAAATTAAATGAGCTCTTTCCTGACTCCCTGACTCGTTTCCTTGTGATAGCTCCCAGAATTCCAGTTTGTACCCAGCATTGAGAACTGCTGCACCGAGAGAAGGCTCACCTCCTTTAAGCAAGCTGGGCAGCCCTCAGCCTTTCCTGTTCCTGGCAGGTGTCTTGGGCAGGTGCCCACAGAATATGTTATGTCAGTTTATGTTGGCAGATCACCAGATTTTGTTAGAAGGGCTGTCCTCCCCTGCTCAGGATCTTCCACGTCATCTTCTCTTTACCCGGAAATAATTCAAGGCTGAAAGATTCCCTCACATCCTTTGTAACTCCGCATACTTGTCACTGCTTTTCAGGCTGTCTTGGCCATGAGGACTGGATCACGTCTGCTAGTAATTACTCTCAAAGCATGCTGTATTTTTCCTTTCTCAAACTTATATCTGTCATTAGTGATGAAATTATTTACTTAACGCATGCCTTTCCTGTTAAATATTCAGCTTGATGAAAGCACAGGACATACCTGTCTCATTTTTAATTGTCCAGGCACAGCACTATTGAACATAAGGCAGAAGATAGACAAGTGTATAGAAAAGTGCAGCCATGAAGAATTAGCTGTTATCAATGATAAGTGCTAGCTGTTACTTTCAAAGGTAAACTCTGACAGAAAAATGAGTCAAGATGTTGTGTGCCTTTTATTTTTCTAGTAAAGCATATGTTACTCCAGGAGAGACAAGATTTTTCCCTTACATAGAGAACAGTGAC